ATCTTATTTTTTAGAATCAATGGTCTCAAACTCTTTTTTTTCTTTTATTATAAAGCCTAGACGCATAACCACTCATTCTAAGACAATAATTGATAATATATTTTTTTAAACTTTTATTCTTCTGAAATAATTTCAGGGAGCCTTGCCGCTTCAATATCTGATCATCTTGTTCAGTTTATGTTAATTCCACATACCAAAACCCAAACTTTATCTGAACCTATTGTTAGATAATGCTTTAAAATTTTTTAAAAAGCTGAATTTATCCAAGAAACTTCAAATATTGAATGGAACCATCATATAAAAGACAACAGCGATGTTAACAATTCTATTAAAAATTAAATGAAATATTTAATCATATCTCAAACAAACATGCTACCTATGAAAAATTAACAAAAAATCAAGTAGTTAAACGTAATCAACTTTGGGTAACGAAATTCGATTTCGATTTTAAAAAATATTTAAAATCGAAAAAATTTAGAATAAAAAAAACATATTTTAAAAAATTTGAACACTATCGTTATAGTATAAGCAATCTTCTAAAGTTTAGCAAAAAGAAATATTACACTAACTTTTTTATCCACAACATCAATAGCATAAAAAACACCTGGAAAGGTATAAAAGAGTTGATAAATGTTAAACGAAATAATAGTAGTTCCCTAACAAGCATACTCATTAACAAAATGCGAAACCAATTCTAAACCTTTGTTTAGTCAAACCATTTAAATAACTTCTTTACTACGATTGCTTCAAAATTATCTTACGAAATTCTAAATTCTAAATTCAACTATCATGAGTACCTGACCAATCTTACTAGCAACTCTTTTTATATGCAACCAATAACGAAAAAGGAAAGTCTCGATTATAAAAATTCCACTATAATAGAAAGGAGGATTGTTGGACCAAACTGTCTTCCAACAAAACTTTTTAAACTGGTGTCAGGAAATCTATGTAAGCCAATTAGTATTATTTTAGAAAATTCATTTCGCAAAGGAACATTTCCTGATACTTTTAAGCTAGCTCAAATTATTCCGATGCACAAAAAAGGATCTACAATTGTCTCCACTAACTATCGTCCAATATCTCTTCTTTCTAATGTAAGCAAAATATTTGAAAAAGTTATGCATAATAAACTATACAACTTTCTAAATCAAAATCAATGCTTATATAAACACCAGTTTGGTTTTTGTAAAAAGTATTCGACAGCTCACGCTCTTATTAGAATTACAGAAAGTATAAGAGTTGCTCTTGATAATGGCAACTTTGCTTGTGGAGTTTTTGTTGATTTGCAAATAGCTTTTGACACTGTAGACCACGAAATTCTACTCTCAAAGCTTAACTATTATGGTGTACGTGGTATATCCTTGCAGTGGTTCAAATCATACCTTTCTGATTGTCAACAGTTTTTAACTATAAATGGAACAAGCTCAGATATTAAAAATATTTCAATTGGTATACCTCAAGGAACCATATTTGGTCCTCTTCTATTTATTATCTATATTAACGATCTCAATCTTTCTATCAAACATTCAAAAACATTTTTCTAATGATACTAATCTTCAATTAATAACAAACTCTCTCAAAAAACTTAATAAATATATTATTCAGGATATGGCCAGTCTTGTTCCATGGCTTGGAGCAAATAAAATCTTATTGAATACTAAAAAATCAGAAATAATTATATTTAAGACGCGAAATACTAACTTTTCTAAAAAAAGTAAGAAAAATATTTTAAAATACTTGAACTTTCGTTTAAGTGGTCAAAAAATGTACTTGTCTACTAACATAACTTATCTTGGTGTTGTGTTAGATGAAAAACTTTCATTCAAAACACACATATCCGACCTTACTCTGAAGTTAAGCCGTTCCAACGACATGTTAGCAAAAGTTCGACATTACGTTAACTTTGAAAAATTGCTCTCTATATATCACTAAATTTTTGGTTCACATTTACGATATGCATGTCAAGTTTGGGGACAATCTAAAACCGTATGTCTCTCTAGAGTTGTTTTACTTCAAAATAGAGCGGTACGGATTATTCATTTTTGTCCGATAAATTTTCCTACTGACATTCTTACATCCAAAATTCTTCGTTTCTTTTACTTAATTCAGCTTTTAAATTGTTCATTTGTCTGGAATCAAAACATGATATCTTTTCTACTATATTTCACAACTATTTTAATAATAAAACAACATGTGGGCATAACCTAAGATCAGTCACTTATAACAACTTAACGCTCCCAATAAAACAGACAAGTAAACATGGAATTAATTCCATTACATACCAATGTATCCTTTCTTGGAACTCTAAACTTTTATGCAATATATATATATATATATATATATATATATATATATATATATATATATATATATATATATATATATATATATTTATATATATATATATATATATATATATATTTATATATATATATATATATATATATATATATATATATATATATATATATATATATATATATATATATATATATATATATATATATATATATATATATATATATATATATATATAACAATAACGATATATATTTTGAAAAAAGGTTATTACATTTCATGGATATTTAGAAATAGTACTAATAAAGTAAAAATTAATTTCATAACAATACTTATAATATTAAAAAAATTATAACGAGGACAATAACAATATTAGCAATGTTAACAATAATATTTATATTATTAAATATAATCCAAATAATAATAATAGTAATAATAATTTTGATAAATATTAAAACTAAATAATAAACCATAACATTAAGTAATAATGATATAAATACAAGTAAAACAATGTTATAATAATATTTATATTACACTAAATAATACCAAAAGTAATAATAATAATAACCCACAATGAGCCCAACATTTTACAAACAGTATCACTCCAAAAAAAAGGCATAAAGACTGGTTTTAGTAACAGAGATTAGCGATTTAAAATAAAGAGGTAAATTATTCTATGATTCAGCGCCGGCCATAGCTTTTTTGACAGGTTGGGCAAAACTTGTGAACGCGCCCCTAGGTATATATGGGTAGGTTGTTACCATTAACAACGAGACCAATGCTCTAAAATGATGAACAAGAGTGCTAAAGGGAATATATAGTTTTATGCCAAGAGATCCATATTGTGCATCAAGTTTCTTATTTAATTAATTTTTTATTAAAATTATAAACTTAGACTTTTCATGATATGGGTTTATAGAAATGAGTGACTAAATAAATAGACAACGCAACGCTGCTTTAAAAATAACAAATGTTTTTATTAAACATATAATAAATCCTCGAACTATATAAACAAGAGTTATTAAATTTTAAAATCTAACTTTTCTTGATTTTTTGTCCGCGAAATCTCTTATCAAACTAGAAAAATCTAAATCTTGCTCGATTGATATCATAGATAGAAAATTAAGTCGATCTTGCAACATGGTATTTCTTAAATATGTTTTGATTAACTTCAGTTTAGAAAAACTACGTTCTCCACTAGCAACAGTAACAGGTATTGTAAGAAGAATGCGCAGAACAATCCATGTATTTGAATATAACTCTTGTAGACAAGGTTTTTTAATAAGATTCAGTACAAAAAGTGGTGTCATCTCTTTTGTATTTATTTCATTTTCAACATTGCTTATTTTATCTTTTATAAAAAACCGCACACTTTCGTAGTTCGTCGCATAGCAAAGCACCATCGATTTCTGATTTTGTACTTACAGTTAATTTTTCTTGTAATTGTTTACACAATTTTAAAAGTTCGTTCTTGATGGGCAAATTATCCAAATTAAATAAAAAACTCCATATATTTTCATATTCATTAAGTTGTTCAAATCTTTCATTTATTGACGACAGACATGTATCTAATAAAGGGTTAAAAAATGTCACTTCAAGTTTCCTTTCGGGATTTTGAATTGGTTCGTCAAAAGCATTTTCATCATAATGACGTTTCACTCGTCGCACTCTTTTAAACGGCTTAAATATTGCATTGATGTTCAACTCTTCAGCTAACTCTTTGGCATCAACCGTTGCTTGTTTAAAGCCAAGCGTTCTGTAATTTTCCAAAAATGTGATGCATTTTTTTAACATTTCAGCGCACTGTATTAGACCCATGTCTTTGGCTTGCATTGCTTTACTAACAACGTTTATTTGGAATAGTACATTGTACCATGCAATTAAAGAAACTAAAAAACTATAGTCTTTTAATTGTTCTGCTAATGTTTGCGCTTCGTGTGCAATATCGGGAGTTTTGGTTTCAGTTTCATATATAGTAATTAAAGCATCATGTGCGCTGCTTATTTGGTATCGGATGGCTTTGAGACTCTCAATTTTGGCTTCCCAACGAGTCTCGCATAATCGTTTAAGAGTGAAGTTTGTTGTATGACTAAGTAAAACATTCCAGCGTGAAGTTGATGCAGAAAATAATGTGAATAATCTTTGTATTATGCCAAAAACGTTAATGGAATTTAGTGAAGACTGCCCTGCGTCACAAATATCCAAATTGAGAGAATGACTTCCACATGGAAGGTAAAAAGCCAAAGGATTCAAATCTAATATTCGCTTTTGTAGGCCTATTTTTTTACCTTTCATATTTGCATCGTAACCTTGCCCTCGACAAAAGCTTATATTCAGTCCAAAATCTTTTAATGCTCCAATTATGATTTCTGTTAAACCAAGACCTGTCGTGTCGTTAACATTGAAAAACCCTAGAAAGTGTTCATTTATTTTTATAGGATATTCTGATATATTTACAATTCTAATCGTAAGCGAGAGTTGTTCTTTGTGAGATACGTCAGGAGTGCAGTCAGCAATAATAGAATAATATGTACTTTTTAGAGCTTTGGATATAATTATGTTGGTTACTTTTGATGCCATTATATCTATCATTTCATTTTGAATGGTTTTTCCACAGTAATGATCAGAAATATCTCCTTTAAAAGCTAGCGTGACGTGGTTTAACACGATAGGATCAAATTTAGCGAGTAATTGTACCAATCCTAAAATTTGCCGTTATTAACTGCATACAATTTATCACAAGAACCTCTGAAGGCCATATTATTTGTTGCCAAGTATAAAGTAATGTTCATCAATCGTTCAAGAACACTTCGCCACCTTAAACTGTCCTTTTCGATTAGTTTTTGTTCTTGTTTATCAATAGTTTCACCAGCTTTCATTCGTATTTCTGTGTCAATCCATAGTTGATAAGCAATTCTGTGTGACTTACTATTTTCGTGAATTTTTAATGCTTCTGTTAAATTCTTTCATTTATTGAATCCATTTCCGTTTAACTTTAAATTCATGTTGAAATCAAAAAGTTTGCAGCAAAACAAAATACCGCATCTTTAGAAACTGAATACACAAGCCAACGTCGTGAAATAACCTCACCATTTGAAAGTTTTCGGTTGTAATAAGCATTTGAAAAATATCGTCTTTTATTATCGCGTGGATATGTGTCCAAATTCACTTGTATTGCACCTATATTAATTACATAATCAACAAATTGAATGTTGCGATGAATTGGCCACAAACCACAGTCTGAGTAATCGATTGCTGTTTCTTTGGTGCGATCATTTACATTACCATCTTGGCCATCATCATTTTCGTTATCGATATCTTTTTCATCGTAGTGAACATTTCCAACTGACACTATTCCGTCTTCTTCATCGCTGGTTGATGTATCACTAAGTAAATGCGCAACATTTTCTCCTTCCTTTATTTTATTACAATCACTATTTTCCAATGTAAAAAATTTTTCAAGTTTTTTATAATTTTTCTTCAAATTATCAACTTTTTCTGCTTTACGTTTTCTGTATTGAGCACCAGATGGTTTCTTATTATTATGAGTTTTAAAAACATTTTTTTCTTTATTATGAGTACTCTCCATTGATTGCTGCTGACAGTTTCTATTTGTCTAAAATTTTAAAATAAAAAATTACTCGCAAGCTAATAATTCATAAACCATTTTTGATTATTTATACTTACCTGCTTTTTATTACCGCAAAATTTGAAAACTTGACAAAAACTGAATTTGAATCACAAATACAACTTTAAATTTCTTCTACAAATTAATAAACGACGCGCTCGCAACTCGTACAGAAAATAATGTTTAAAATTTAAACTTTAAATAAATGGAACGCAAAATAATTGGCGCCGAGAAAGATTCAATTAAAAAAATGATTTTAAGTAACAAAATATATGCTATGATTGAAACACTTTTAATCAAATTATTAATTTTGCATAAACAATTTTTAACAGTGTAATAATACAATAAATAAATTATTTAAGGAAATTATT